ATTGGAAATAACCATTTGATCCGATCATCCCATTATGAGTCCACATAATGTGTAGCCATTAATGAAAGCGTTACCTTTAATAAGAATTATTATATTAATGATTCAATAGGTTTAGTTAGTGTTGACATCTTATCACTGTTGCAAATATCAAATGTGATTTCAACACAATTGCATCACTACTGGACTTTCGCTTTATGACTATTACCTATATAAAGATGCACTTTTTATAGACAAATCTTTGCAATAGTTATGTAATACTATGAAATCATGTCATTGTATATTTACATCACTCATATAAATTGCATGATAACTGTAACATCTGAAGATTATGTGTAAGCATGCAAAATAAGCTGTCCATTATAGAAAAGTATTTTTAATAGTAATACTATGAAATCATGTCATTGTATATTTACATCACTCATATAAATTGCATGATAACTGTAACATCTGAAGATTATGTGTAAGCATGCAAAATAAGCTGTCCATTATAGAAAAGTATTTTTAATAGGCTAAAATTTTGTCAATACTACACTACATAAAAAGTATTAAACAGAATTTAAGAATTTTGTTGTCCATAAATTGACTTTACTGTTAAGTAGAGGAGTATTGAAGTAAATATTTTATGAAAATGTGCACATTTTGAAGTCAATTTGAAAATAAATCTATACTATTATAGAAATATAGCAGCCATAGTAAAGTATAAGTTATAAAAGTTAAGAACATGTAAAATGTGAATTAATTTAAGAAATTGGACTCAATATGAAATATTTAATAAAAAGAAAACCGCTTATTATAAGCACTCAATATATGTGTCAAATTGCCAATAAAATGTTACATAAACTGTAATTACAGAAAATGTTGAAATTTTTTGTTATATTAATTTATGAATCTTAACTTGTTTAGATTAACTCCGAATTATAATTCAAAGACTACAATGTCCTATGTATTATATATTAATCAATTTATAGTTTAACTAATCAATATCTAATATTCAAATATTAAAGCACTTATATTCTTGTGAGTATTTAATAATACTGTTATATAAATAACCTGAGATTAAATGATAGCTTAACTTCCCGGGAGTCAGCAATAAGGAGGGAGGGGTTACCCGGAGGCTAATTATTATACCGTAAAAAGTTATAAATAAAAAAGTGCCACAAGAATACAGTATCGGTTGCCATCTATTTATAGCGGTTACACAAAATGCATTTAATACTCAATATAAGGATAAAAATATGAGTGCAAACATATTTCCCTCAATTCATTGGTGAATAAACATGGAAAATGTATTTCAAATAAGCAATTAGATTATAATTATCGATTCAAATGAAATGAAAAGCAAGTATCGACAGGAAATTACTTTATTTTTTCAAAGTCAAACAAAAAACAATAAAATTATCATAATTAGAGAGAAAAAATTTTGAAATGGAAAACTGAATTTTTAAATTAATAAAACTTATATAAACTTATAGTTAAGAAAACTCGCAGTCAATACAACGGTTGGTTGTACTGGTAATACACAAAAATGAAATTATACTAATACAAAGTCTTATGTAGATTTTATGATTATTAATGTAGTGTTTATAAAGTATACAATTCGTAAAATTCGTATAAATATATTCTTATGTATTTTTAATACAGATGACAGACAAATGAAAACTAATGGATGAGATAAATGTTATGTATGTTTTATGGCGTTTTGTTTACCGCGTTATCAATTATGAGACATTTGTGAACAACAATTAAGGCCTTCACCTGAGAAATCGAGTCTGAATTCGCGATAATTCATATAAAATTATATATTTTTTTGTATGCCTTTTACAGTACAGGTTTAATACTCGTATTATATTTGTGCTTATATTTTCATACAATTTAGTCGTTTTATAGTTTACTCACAATTAGTATATTTAACTACTAATTCAGTTTACACTATCAGAGCACCGGTAGTACCAGACCATGCAAACCGAGTACTACGGGTCCCTTAACACCACAAATCTTACTCTACTTATTGTATTAATACTTCAAAACAATCAATACTTTTCATGTTATTTATATTATATAACTTATTCTTAAATTATGTTAACAATTATTTGGTGTAAAAATTGGTATATTTTGTTATGTTTTGATCACTAATTTTGAGACCAATCAGTGCATCAGTTAATGTCAAAAACCAATTCATTTGTGTCATTATATTGAATGAGAATTTGATGAAAATGTTGTAACAAATTAGAAACTTATGTAAAATTTGATTAAAAATACAATAAAATAAAATCATAAACTCTTTGTGCTGTGTATCTATCCATTAGAGAGTATTCTTACAGTTAATTGAAAACTAATTGCTTTTTGATATTATAATAGAAAAAATGATTTTGTTTGTCTGACAAAATGAATGCAATACAATATATGGATGAATGAAAAAATGATTAAATTGTATAAAATATTAGAGACAATTGAGATAAATATGAGTTTAAATGCAAACAAACACACAATTGGTGTCTACAATTAAATGGTAGTCTAATCCATGGATTACATGATAGAACAGTAGGACAGCCATCCTTTACTTTGATTGTCCGCCGAATGGGAACCGCGAGAAGTGTTCGCGTCGAAGGAGACACTGCGGGGGCCGGCGTTCCGGTGCTTAGTCTCGGAACGGGGCGACTGCGCCAACCGTAGCGACCGACGGGTGCCGGCAGTTCTGGTCGGCTCTCTGGGCGACGGCTTCGACTTCTTGACGGCTGAGCTGTCGTTGGCCTCAGACTTGCGTTTCGTCGCCGACTTCGGTGTCTTCGGGGCCGACGAAGTGGACGCCTTCGGGGTCTTTGTCTGTGACTTTGGGGTCTGTTTTTTGGCCGACTTCTTGGCACTACTCTTATTGGACTTCACGCGTGGGGTTACTGTACGCGAGTCTGTCTTCCGGGTGGGGGTACGGCTTCGGGAGCGCGACCGCGACCTCGGCCTCGACTTCTCGGCACCTGTCATATGATCACACAAACCATCACTACATTGGTTCCCAACACTCCAGTGGTGGTGAGTGCACACCAGTGGTGGCCAACACTTACTCTTATGTGAGGACTCAGTCTTCTTCGGCGTCTTCTTGTCACTCATAGCCTCCTTGAGCTGACTCTTCAACGAATCCAATTCACGTCTGGAAGCCATCGAT